GGCTCTGTCAGACGTCCGTGGCTGCTCTGATCCTTTTCCCACTTGGCCCCACACAAGATGGTGGTTCCTGGAGCAGCTGAGCATCCCGAAACAGAAAGCAATGGATTTCTTGCTTCTGCTACAAACTCCCCCAACTGTAAGTCTTCCAACCTTCCAAATATTCCTTTATATGTGGTTCAGAGTTCTGGGACCATCCTCTGAGCCTTCTTGGTCCTGTATTCTGTGTTGTTGGCAGCAGAGCTCGTCACTGCACTTCCACCCGATCTACCATCTTTTTTGTCTGCACCTTAGTCTTGAAACTGACAGTTTTGTACTTTAACTCTTGGCAACAGATTTGCCTAATGTAATATGTCCTATGATTTCTTGACTACTGCTTCCATGACTGTTGATTGTGGATTCAAGCAAAATGAAGTCTTGGACCAATTCTGTCTTTTCTCTGCTTATCATGATGTTACTTATTGGTCCATTTGTAAGGATTTTTTATTTTCTTTATATTGATGTGTAACCCATACTGAAGGCTATGATCTTTACTCTTTATTATTAGTAAGTATTTGAAGTCCTCTTCATTTTCAGCAAGCAAGATTCTGTCATCTGCATATCACAAGTTGTAGAGCCTTCCTCCAATCCTGATGCCATGTTCTTCTTCATATATCCAGCTTCTCGGATTATATGCTCAGCATACAGATTGAATAAATATGATGAAAAGATACAACCCTTGTGCATACCTTTTCTGATTTCAAACAATTCAGTGTCCTTTTGTTCTAGTTGATCGACTGCCTCTTGATCAAATAGATCTGCCTCTTAATGTATATAGATTTCCCATGAGCACAATTACGTGTTCTGGAATTTGCATTCTTCCCAATGTTATTTCTTTGCAGTATTATCCATCAGAGCAAACTATGGATAACATTGCAAAAAATATTTCCCATATGTTAAGTGATTTTGGTGGATCCAGGTGACTTAACACTGTTCCCTCATTTCTGTGGAATGCTTATTTCACAAAGTTGTCATTTTTCATATTGGTCAGAATATCACCACTAGCTGACAGTAAAGGAGTATCTATAGCAGTAAATGAAATTACTGATTTGACAAAGTGTCCAGGTACTCACATTTTACTAATTAAGTTGGCAGCTCTAGGTGGATTTACAGATTTGGTATTACTGCAATTTGGAAGAACCTGGAGGTGTTAGCTAGCAAGCGAGGAGGCTGAAGCGAATGAAAACAAGTCCATGAGAGTCAAACTATGACCTTGAGTATGTTGTTGTTATTCTGAAGTGCCATTCAGTCGGTTCTGACTTATAGTGATCCTGTATATGGTTTCCAAGGAGTGACTGCCTGGTGGATTTGAACCACTGACCTTGTTGGTTAGCAGTCCAGTGCTGATCCCACCACACCAGGATGCCTTGAGTATATCTCACCTGAATTTAGAAACCATCTCAAGAACCGATTTGATTCATTAGACACTAATGACCAAAGACCAGAGGAGTTATGGGATGATATCAAGAACATTATACATGAGGAAAGTAAAAGGTCATTAAAAACACAGAAATGAAAGAAAAGACTGAAATGTATCCGAAGAGATTCTGAAACTTGCTCTTGAGTATAGAGAAGTTAAAGCAACTAAAAGAAATGATGAAGTAATGAAGCTGAACTGAAAATTTCAAAGAAGACAAAATAAAGTATTATAATGAAATGTGCAAAGACCTGAAGTTAGAAAACCAAAAGTGAAGAACATGCTTTGCATTTCTGAAGCTTAAAGACGGAAGAAAAACTCTGAAGCCTCAGGTTGCAATAAAGAAGAAAGCTATGGGCAAAATATTTAATGATGCAAGAGTCATCCAAAGAAAATGAAAGGAGTACACAGAATTATTATATCAAAGAGAATTGGTTTATTTTCAACCATTTCAAGAATGGATGGTACTGAAGGAAGAAATCCAAACTGCATTAAAGACATTGACAAATAGCAAGGCTTCAGGAATTGATGGAATACAATCAGAAATGCTTGAACAAACTGATTCAGCACTGGAGGCACTCACTTGTCTATGCCAAGAAATTTGGAAGACAACTACCTGGTCAACCAATTGGAAGAGACTCATATTTGTGCCCATTTCAAAGGAAGGTGACCTAATGGAATGCAGACGTCATTGACTAATATCATTAATATCAAATGCAAGTAATTTTCCTGAAGCACATGGCACATAACAACAGCAATTTAAAAATAGTTGTAGTAGTACATTGACAGGGAATTTCTAGAAATTCAAGTTGGGTTCAGATGAAGGTGTGGAACTAGGAATATCATTGCTGAAGTCAGATGGATCGTGGTTGAAAGCAGAGAATAACAGAAAGATGTTTATTTATGCTTTATTGATATACAAAGCCACGTGACTGTGTGGAATGTAACAAACTATGGATAACATTGTGAAGAATGGGAATTCTAGAACACTTCATTGTGTTCATGAGGAACCTATACATAGACCAAGAGGCAAAGCAGTTGTTCAAAAAGAACAAATGGCTAGAGAATGGTTTGAAATCAGGGAAGGTGTGTGTCAGGGCTGTCTTCTGTCGTAATATTCAATCCATCTGTATGTTGCTGTTGTTGTTAGGTGCTGTGGAGACAGTTCTAACTCATAGCAGCCCTGCATAGGGTTTCTGAGGTTATAAGTCTTTGATAAGAAGAAAACCTCATCTTTCTCCTATAATCTGTATACTGAATTACTAATCCAAGAAGAGGGATTATATGAAGAAGAACATGGCACCGGTATTACAAGAAGATTCATTAATAGCCTGAGATATGCAGATGACACAACCTTGCCTGCTGGCAGCAAAGTGGATGTGAAGTACTTATTGGTGAAGGTCAAAGAGGATTTCAAATACTTACTGATGAAGATTAAAGACTACAGCCTTCAGTGTGGATTGCACATCAATGTAAAGGAAACAAAAATCCTCACAGTTAGACCATAAATAACATCATGATAAACAGAAAAAAGCTTGAAGTTGTCAAAGATTTCATTTTACTTGGATCCACAGCCATCACTCATGGAAACAGCAATCAAGAATTCAATTGTTGTTGTTAGGTGCCATCGAGTTGGTACTGACTCACAATGACTTTATGCACAGAAAGAAACACTGCCCAATCCTGGGCCAACCTCACTATCATTGCCACGCTTGAGCCCATTGATGCTGCCACTTTGCCAATCCATCTCACTGGGGGTCTTCTTTAAAATGTTCAAGAGCAAAGATATCATTTTGAGGACTAAGTTGTACCTGATCCAAGCCATGGTGTTTTCAGTGAGTGCATTGGAAAGCTGAACAATGAATAAGGAAGACCATAGAAGGATTAATACATTTGAATTATGGGGAAGAATACTGAAAATATCACAGACTGCTAGAAGAATGAACCAATCTGTTTTGGGAGAAGTACAGCCAGATTGCGCCTTTGGACATGTTGTCAGGAAGGACCAGTCCTTTGAGAAGGACATTATATTTGGTAAAGTGGAGGGTCAAGGAAACAGAGGAAGACCCCCAATGAAATGATTGACACACAATAATGGGCTCAAACAAAAAACAGCAGTTGTGAGAATTTGCAGGATCATGCAGTGTTTTGTTCTAATGTACATAGGGTTGCTATAAGTCAGAACCAGCTAGATGTCAGAACCTATCAACAACAGAGGTGTGATCAAAGAAGCTCTGCAGGTGCTATGGGTTAGAAATTGGACTGCTAACCACAAGGTCAGTGGCTTAAATGTGCCTGCTGCTCCACAGAAGAAAGATGAGGCTGTCTGCTCCCATGAAGATTTACAATTCTGGAAGCCCTAAGGAGTCTTTCTAGTCTGTTCTCTAGGGTGCTTATGAGTTAGAATCAAATCGATGGAAGTGAATTCGGTTTGATTTGGTAAAACTATGCTTAGGAGAAAGGCTGGTGAAAACTGTAAATTCTACAGATCACAGTTCTTTTCTGACACACATGGGGTCGCTACGAGCTGGAATTAACTTGATGACTACTGGTGCTTGTGAAGTTGTGATAGCGGTTCAACCATTGCCTGCAAATTGGCATCATCTGGGGATATTTAAGTAAATCCCATTTCCTAGGGCTCCACTGCACCAATGAATCCCTGACTGCCACAACGTGTGTGATGATCCCCAGGTGACTCTAATATGCAGTCAGAGTTGAGAAGTGCTGCTAAGAATGGCTGGGTCTGAACTTTCACTAGTTCAAGGACTGGCTACATTGACGTTAATTGACTATCAGGTCTTTGGGAATGTGTGAAATTACCACTGCTGCATAACTCTGCTTGTCCATGTTTTTCAGTTATGGGATGTGGTAACTAAAACTCGACTGAGAACTATGCTTGGCCATTTATCTGTTGTTGGGGCTCTGAGCTGGAATCACTGTATCCTCAGCAGGTATGAAGCATTTGATTGGAGCCAGTTATGTTTGTTTATCAGCAATTGACTGGCAGGTCTGAGTAGACAGAGCAATCATATTAAAACCAAGATCCAAACCCAAATGAAACGAAACAGGACATCAGACCTGCTTGGATCTTACCCTTTCATCTGCTCTTCTCATAATCACATTGAAATTCTGCCAGCATTGGAATGTGAGGCTCCAGAGTCCCTGAATTGTTTAGCAAAATGTGAAACTTCCTTCAAGCAAAAGGTTTCTCTCTATCAAGTAATACCTGTTAGAGGGCTATTTTGCTGAAATCTAGTATTTACTGGTTATCAGTACTAATACTTTTAGACTATACTTGTTGTTGTTGTCAGGTGCCATCGAGTCGGAACCAACTCATAGTGACCCCATGCACAGCAGAACAAAACAATGTCCGATCCTGGCCAACCTCACTACAGCCGCCACACTGGAGTTCATCAATGCTGTCACCTGGCCAATCCATCTCACTGGGGGTCTTCCTCTTTTTCTCTGATCCTCCATCTTACCAAGCATGATATCCTTCTCCAGACTATACTAGGGTGCTTCAAAACATTCATGGAAAAATTACATTATCTAAAATTGTTTTCTTTTTCTTTTTTGAGAAAATACATATACATTGTTTCTCTTCCAGTACTTGAAAAATAAAAGTCCATAAAAAAGAAAGCAATTTTCTCTTTTTTTTCTTTCTTCCTTCTCTTTTGCTTCTTTTTCTTTTTAACTGACTTCCCTGTCACCTAAGTTAGCACGTGTCTGCATTCAACTCAATGAACAATTCTCCTTTCCCTTCCACCCCTGGTAACCATCATGGAAAATTGACTATAGAATGGAAACCTTTTTTAGTGGTCTCATATCAATATCTGTCCCTTCCATGAACTTCTTGAAGCCCCCTCGTATTAAGCTTCCTAGGCATATTTCCAATTCCCAGAATCACAGGGGTTAAACTTTTAGATTATCCAGCGCAGTGGTGCCCACACATGGCCTGCGTCAGGATCATGTGGAGGCTTGTGCAAACACAGTCTTCAGGCCTGGCACTGAACTCAGCTCCATGGCTCCACTTTCAACCAAACGAATGGGGTCCTGGTACAATGCTATCAGATAAGCATTGGACTGCTAACCACAAGGTTGGCAATTCAAACCCAACAGCCACTCCTTAGAAGCTCTATACAGGGTTGCTATGAGTCGGTACAGAGTTGACGACACTAAACAACAACAGAGTGTGACTTAGAACAATCAGTCATACAGACCAAAGGGCAGCATTTGCCCAGAAAAAAAAGATCAGAAGACAGGAAGGGATAGGGAAGAAGGATGAAGGGAAAAGGTAAGGACAGGCAGGAAGTGAGAAGAGTGCTATGTTACATAGTGGGATCGCAGTCAGTGTCCCAAAACAAAATGTGTTCTATGGAAAACTGATTTGCTCTGTAAACTTCACTCAAATCAATAAAAAGTTCAATTCACAAGCGCATGCATGCAAAACACAGCTGGAGTCCACCTTTGTAATTCGGTAGGTCTGTGGTGAGCCTGGAATTTACATTTCTACGTTTAAAAGGTAAGCTGATCCTGCTGCTCCAGGAGCCACACTTTGAGAACCGCTGATTTAATTTAGCTTGTTCCTCTTACAGAAGAGGGAGCAGAATCCCAGAGATTGCAGAGAGAACTTGGTTGGAATAGGCTTGATGGCAGTAGGTTTTAGACACTGCTTTTAATAACAGTCTTGGTGTGGTGCTGTAGGATAAGCACTGGACTGCTAACCACAAATCCTCCTCCATCTGCTCCTCAAAAACCCTATAAAGGGTTGCTATGAGTCAGAAGTAACTCAATGGTTCTTAACTACAATGTTCATGTTTAGACTATTTTTCTTGAGGTGGATTTAAGTTAGATAGACTTAAATTTTTTTTTTTAAAGCCTTTTGCAATTTCTTTAACTCATAATTGTTAGATTTAATACTTGCGGTTATAGGCCAAATTTTAAACCATTTAAACAAAAAACCCTGAAGAAACTTAGGTATTCACCATGAAGCCCTTTCTGTACTGGAGTGCCATTTGCAATTTGCATTGTTTAGTTGAACTTTCCATAAGGAATATAAACAGGTCTTTTCTTAGAATGACAACAGCTAACTTTTTTTTGGACTACTTTGTGTACTGTGTTAACGAGCCATGGTGGTGTAGTGGGTTAAGCATTAGACTGCTGACCAAAAGGTTCAAACCCACCAGCTGCTCCATGGGAAAAATATAAAGCAGCCAGCTTCTGTAAAGCTTTAGAGACGCAGAAACCCTGTGAAACAGTTCTACCCTCTCCTGTGTGGCCGCTATGAGTCAGGATTGACTCGATAGTAGGGCTGGGTGCACTGCTTTATACTCTTTACATGTATAATATTGTTTTAATCACTGTAGTAACCTCATAAGTTGGTTTCCTACTCTCTAAGTCTATAAGACATTAGCTTGAAGTTACATGGTTAGTAAGGTGAGTCAAGATCTGAATGAAGGTGGTCTGGTTTCAGAACTCTGATTACTAATCACGAAGCTCTTCAGTATTGGGCCTCAGTGGCTTTTTGCAAGGGTGGGGTGTGGGTAGGAGTAGGGGGTGAGGGTTTGGGTTGGGACGATGACTAGGTCTTTACTAGGCCTAGGACTTCATTTACTGTTAGGGTTAGGGTTAACACTAGGGTTAGTGTGGGGGTGAGAGTTGGGCTAGGGCTAGGAGTAACGCTTGGTTTAGTTGTAGGATTGCAGTTAGGTTAATTTTTGTTTATTATTTTTTTTCTTGAAATCTGATTTCCTCTACATTTGGAAGTTCTGTAGATGACTTATTCCCTCTTTTTACTTTATGGTATTTTTGTTGTTTTTGTAGCTGTATCTCTGGTTCTCTCCTTTCAGTCTTATAGGTAGGTCTGTTTTACTTTGTATACTTCTCTATCTGGTCATGTCTAGGTGATATTGTCATGTATGTTAGTCTCAGGCTGTTGTCTGCTGTTGTTAATTCTTTGTCCAGAGAACTCCCTTTAGTATTTTTTGTAAGATTGGTCTGGTTTTCACAAATTCTTTCAATTTCTATTAGTCTGAAAATGACCTAATTTCACTATCATATTTGATGGACAGTTTTGTTAGATATATGATTCTTGGTTCCTCAGTAGTTAAAAAAAATATAATTAA